CGCCAAAATAACATAAATCACACACAGATCGGCATACACAACAAACTGCCCATCTCCACCACACTCAACAGCACAAAAACCAGCACACCTGCAACAAATCAGCACACACCCATAACAGATCAACAACTGCGCCTCTGCTAGCATGGAGTCAGGCCTCAACGCTACCGTACACCACCACCTCACCAACAAAAATCATTACAAAATCAAGATGCAAAGAAGGAGGGCGTGGGTGTGACGGTCCTACTGGTTACGCATGGCGGTCCTGAACGTTGCACCAAAGAGCAAAGCTACTGTGAGCTCAAAGCTGCATCGGCATCGGTGGGGGTTCCGGTGGGAAGGTGGGAAGGGCGCCGGTGAGAAGGTAGATCGAGGAGAGAGAGGGAGATGGAGAGAAGTGAGTGATTAGGGTTTGGAAATTAAAATGATTATTATATAATTAATATTTAATCTATAAATATAAAATATCTGATTTTTAAAAAGTGAAACTTGTGGTCTGATTTTTGAAAATGGATATTGAAAAGAAGGGTTTTGTGTAATTTCCACTATATTTTTTTATAACCAGACTGTGTTGTTTTAGTTTTGATTAATGCTGAAAGTTCAAGTTGTATTTGATTGATTTGTGTATCTTCTACAAAGTGTTCAGATTGCTTAGGTTAAAGATTCCTCCGTTGGGCAAATTTACAAATGGTTTATAAAGATGAGGATGGTGCAATAATGTCACGAGTTGCCTTATGCGTAAGATCACGCAGTTAGGCTCCTCCAAGTATATGGTTAAAACTTAAAAGCCTTGTTTTTTCAAATATATAATTTATATACTTTGCTACTATATGCCTCATGTGTTACATTCTATAACACATTATTTGTTTATCTACCGGAAATCTAATGCCCTTTTTTTTGTCTTTAATATCTCAACCAATTGAACCCGAGAACAAGTCAATATATGAATGTATTATAGAATAGAAGTTTAATCCTTCTTTGACTGTGAGTGTAGGGATCTTCAAAGAATTTGCCTTGATCATGCACTTAAAAATGAAGCTAAGTTTGGTAAGATCATTTTGCTTGATTAGATGTTTGTCCTCAATGACATAATTTGTGTCATATTAATATGTTACGACATTTTGTAGTATTTTTTTTCCCCAATACACGGTATAACAAATTTAGACGCTGATTTTTCCTTATAAGTGATACTTACGTACTCATGGCAGGTTAGTAAATATCTTATCTAGAATGGACAAAGTTGATAATTGTTATACTATGTGTGCATTTGTGTCTTGAAGTTTATCAGTTTATGTAAGGATCGTGGATAAGAAAAAATATACTTTTTTCTTTATCAACTTGTTCGATTGGAAAATTCAATTGTGTCCCCCCTCCCCCCACCCCACCCCAACTCAAAGAATTTGTGTCTGTCATGAGACCATGATCAACTATATCCCCCTGTTTTCTCTTGACAGACCCTTTTGTGCTGGTGTATGTGGCTAAGAGAACTGAGAGGTCTATATATATTGCCCACCCCAGTTGGTCCCTAAGATTTTATTCCATTATGGACTGATTCGCACGACTTTGTTATGGGCTGATTTCATACAATTAATCAGGAAGAAATTATTGGAATGGTCTATAATTAAGGATTTGAATTTTTTAAATTAGTGGCTCACATTTATAGGAATTATTCCAGTTTTTTTTTAGAAAGAATCCAATGTATACATGTTTTTTCTGTGGACATCTGATGCAGACCTTCAATGATACTAAAAAAATTACTTGAACAGGGAGCAACTTGATGATCTCTACAAGCTGCTGAACCAAAGTCAGGCTCCAAGTGTTCTCTCTAGTTTTCTTGCCCGTGTCCAAAATGGTAGCCCATTAAGTGCCTACACTAGAGCATTCTATCCAGCACCTTAGCTCATTGATTCTGTGCATCACATCACATGACTAGTTTCTTGCATTTATTTAACATGTATTATCCTTATTGTGATCATTTAAAGATTCTAATTAGTGATACCGTGATAGTAATCTGTCTCCAGTTGCAAGAAATGGTTCAATTGTCATCTAATAAAACCTAGTTTTAAAATCAGTCGCTCGTGTCCTAATCTTTCATGAAATCTTTTGTCAATTGGTAAATTCACCAGCGACTCTAGTTGTGTTGTCAATTTTTTAATTCACCTGTGAATTTCATGATTTACATTCATGAAAGATGATTGGCAGTGCTAAGATAGTCGACATACTATTATTTTGATGATGACTTCTTCAAAAGTCGGAAACTCAATGTGTGGGTAGTAGTGGCATTTATAATCCCGTTGAGAGTCACATAATGTCATGGCACTATAGGTTAGGACATCCCAATTTTCCTTACTTGAAACAAATGTTTCCATCTTTATTAAAAAATTTACATCCTTCGTCATTTCAGTATCAAATTTGTCACTTATCAAAGCATCATCTGATCATTATCCCTCCCTTTAAGGAAAATGGTGTTTTTCATCAATCTACATGTTTTGATAGCCCAACAAAGAATGGGATAGCAGGCAGACTACGAGTGTTCTAAATATCTTAGGGGTGAGGCTGTCCTTACAGCTGCATATTTGATCGACCAAATGTCAAAGTAGAATTTTAAAATTTGAGACTCCACTTGAAAATAACACATTCTCCATTAACCACTGAGAAGTAACCTAAGCTACTGTGTAAGGGTGTAAGGTTCCACCCGAGCTATGATAGTAACAATGATGGATTCATACGCTGCAACTAGTCAATTTGTAATATTTGTTATTTGGTCTTCATCAGATAAGGGGTATTTTCTTCATTGGTTGTATCTCTTGCTTATACTGAGAAGCTGTGGCTGGGATTTGAGAAACAAAAATACTCATTAGTTTTGACCAGAGCTTAAATGAAGAATAGCCTACCAATCAGGTAACTAGTATCGATGAGATTGAATAAGATTACGGAGATCGTCGGAGATTGAATAAGATTCCGGAAATCGTCAAAGATTACGATTATATTATTATAATTGTAATAGATATAGATAGATTGTTTTTACCATTAATTAATATTGTAATTGATTGCTTCCATATTTAGTTGTTATTTTAGTCCAATTTAATGAGAGA